AATTATCTCGTTACATTGTCGATATTTTGGGGCTTTGTGGTTAATTTCCAAAATAGTTGCCGTATTCGGTGCGGTAGGTAGTTTGCTGGGGCAATAAATGCAAAGGGTTGCCTCAGTATACGGTGGACAGTGTCGCAATTAGAGCATTGCTGGTTCTATCGTGTCCTCATGATGTTCGGCCTGACGGAACGGAAGAAAATCTCTATTGCCCATACAGTCCCTTTGTAATATAACAGCGTAAAGAGCCAAATGAGACTGGCGAAAAAGGAAATCTTGCGGAGATTGGTAGTAGGTAAATGTCGTAAGAGAGACATTATAGAACGTATTTACGAAGGATAGATTGGATAAAGTGGGACTATTGGCCGTTATGGGAGCAATAGAATAGCGTCTAGGTGGGTGGTGACAAGAGCCCGAGAGATTGGTAATAAATTTACGTCGATTTGAATTCTATTGCTATCTGTCGTGGGTACCTGAGCGTTGTTCGCCACTGCGTCAAGCCCACGTTGCAGACTGAGCGTTCAAGTACATGTCTTGTACTCGTTTAACCTGGTGCTCGCGAACATAATTAGCCTAGAGGATGTTATTCCTCTGCATGTTGCATTACTGAAACGCTCAGTAGTCGTAAACGTCGCCTGGTACCTTTCATCGTAGATAATGGGGATGTGTCAGCTAGCCCGTGTCGCTGGGTGCGTATAGTGGTGGATTGGATGGACAACCCAGTGTAGCCACCAGCGGAGAAAAATTCATTCTTGGTAACAGTATTGTGTTATTTTTTTAAATTTTTCTATTATTATATGCGTATTATTATTATTAGGACGTAGAGGTACGGTATGATGATGATTGGCCTTCATTAGAGGACTAAGTTTCAGTGCGACTTCATCTAATAATCAATAATCATTTCACAACGAGTTCGTAAGCAATTGATTACTCTTATCTATTTAATAAAATATAAACTGCGTTTGACAAACTGAACAAATACCCAAACAAAAAGGAATAACTGATCAATAATAAAGAGAAATTTTACAGCACACTCGGACAGTCTATGGGCATTTTCAACCTTGCGGGTAATCGTATAATAATAATCACTTATAATGATATTTAATAATTATCATAATATTAATAACCTTGGGTGTATAGTGATTTTGATATATAAGGGGGCATTCTGATAACCGTTACTCGTAGATAGCTTTGCTTACAAATATTTGCTATTCTTCGTCCGGTTTTTGCGGTTCGAATCTGTTTTTGCGCACCACGAGGTGAAGCCATTGTCCGTCGATGTATACATATTAAGCCATCACTTGATTTAAAGAGGAGGTCGAGAAAATGTTTTTATGTATAATAGAAATAGACTGCTTTCACATATAGGAGGGTTACAAATTTTACTTTGCTTGTCTACGTTAGCAGAGTAAATGGAGTACGGGTCGAAAGCTAATCTACGAAACAAAACTCCTTTGTAATTGCGCGTCTTCCTTCACCAACGTCATGCAATGGTAACGGCCCCCTTTTTGCCCTTCTTAAATCAGTGTGGGCCAGAGCATGGCAGATGAAGTCATCTTCGTGGGTTCTACGGATAAATAACAAATCTTCAAAGATACTTTGGGCATCGGGGAGTGACTTTCATTATTTTGCAGGGTTATCGAATGCGTTGTGTACAAGCAATCATCCTAATCATTTTCTTAAGTATATCTTCAGAACAATAACGTAGGCTCTGAAAAGAGTGTATGGGCTCAATGAACTTGTTATCTTATTATTACTATGGGAACTAAGTTTCCTATTGTTTTGCGCGGTAAACCGACAAAGGCGTTCTCACTCTCAATCCTCTTCTATTTCTGTTGAGCGTCGCTGATCAATTCCGATTTCGAAATCAAGTTTCGATAGAGTGCTTAGGAGTCGCCGTCTTAAGGCGTCCCGAGTGCATTGAGCTGCGAGACATGACAACAAAAGACATCCTTATCGCGTTCAGCGCTCTAACGCCCTCTGTCAGCTTTGTCCGAAGGGTGAGAGTGATACTGAGAGAACCAGGAGTCAGCGGAATGGAAGTGAGGAGCAGGAGGAAAACAGCTGTAAGGAGACGCAACGATATTTGGGGGAAATGACACTCCTGAAGGGAGTGAGTCCTTCTTATAGAAGATAGTAGTACTATTGTGGTACAAACTTAAGAGTCCTTCTTGAAGACGTATGAACATCGGGTACGAGTCACTTAGAAGAAGGACGACAATGACTCGCTCTAGATCCACTGCCGCCTGTGGTGCCAACTGAACACCACGATCGCATCTACTGTAACACTGTGTCTGCATATAATTCTACGTAGGCTGTGAACAGCACGAAAGGATACGATACCGTCTACTGCTTTTTCCGTTACGAATTTCCATGGATATAACTGGTACTATTTCCATAGCTTGTGATAGAGGCGTCGAAGGCACCACGGTATACTACCGACACTCGTCGTTCTAAGGTCACTTCTTTTTCTTTTTTCGTTTTGCCACTTTTTTTTCGAACGGCAGCTGAGTAAAGACGTTTAAGTCTAACCTTTCTTCGCCCTCACTGTTGCGGCTACCATCACTCGTATGCAGCATGGACACAACAAAGGAGGTGTAAGAACATGCGTGAAATGAAGGACAAGCGGAAATCGGATGGGTTGGCCCGTATAAAGATAGTCAAGAAAAAGCCAACGAGATGGGTGACGATGACGCATAGAAGAATAGACGTGATGGCTCTGGGCGTAAATAAATTATGTTCATGAATCTTGAATGTAGGCACACAGCAGTTCGAGCTGAAGGAGGAAAAACCGGTAGCCACGAGAACACGAACAAATGTACATTCGCCAACGCGCCCCGAAGCTGGTGCTAGAAGGAAGTATAGAAACGAGCCAGATAACCTCCTTTAAAATGCAAGAAACGTCGTTCTACCTGGCCTGGATCGTAAATCCTGTTACTACCAACAGCTGCTATCAAAGGCCAAGGAGAAACTGGAAACGCAGTTCGAACTTAAGGGCCACGCAAAAGTCACCACAGCTGGTGATTCCTTAGCGTCATTGGTGGCTTTTCATAGTTCGGGCGCCGTCAGCCAAAGGAAAATACCAAAAGAATGAGAAATACAGAGATAGGCGCTAAGTAGAAGCCGCTAGTGGCGGTGCTAGTCGTGGAATCGAAAAGAAAGCAGAAAGATGGCAAGAGGACCAAAGGCAAAGGGGAAGCAATCATAGTCAAGCAGGATGAATGAGGCGCAAGGTACCGCTTGAAAAATGACCACAAAAGATATCTTCTTTAGGGTTAATAGAAAATACTTTTGGCTTGCAACACCAACAGCAGTAACGATAAAAGCAGCGAATAGTGCGTGTGGTAGGGTATCCAGTTTCGTGCCACGCAGCCAGTGTAAGCTGGTTGTTGCCGCTATTACAATGCCACACACCGATGCTGCTAAAGTCACCAGATAATCTCGCTTTACTTTTTCTAGCCGTTCATGACTCATGAGAAAACCTGCCGACGAGCAAACGAATAAGAGCGAACGAACCGGCGTTATAAAGCGCCTCTAGAACTGTAGAGGAGAAAGTATAGCGAGGATGTCCGAGGAAAGTGACTCGAAGTAACACGAATGGCTCAGGATGACACCTCGTCAACCTGCTTGGCTTGAGTTAGCTCTCGAGCTTTTCCCTCCGCCTGCAAGAGAAGAAGGCTTCAGCTTCCTCAGACGAAACGGATTGCCAAGAGCTGAGCAGGGCACGCAGAATGTACTTGTCTCGTTTGAGATCGTATAAGGATTTCTTTGATGCCGCCCGGTCCTCGCCAAGCAAGCGCTCTCGCGTGCCACACGCTCGCTGACCTAGTGGTCGTTTGCCTCCTCCTTCTCCGAACATAAACACGCTTCTAGCCTACTTAAGTTGGTCGCCATTTAAGCATACTTGACGAGGTCAAATGATGATTTTGACTGCGAGATCTTCAAACAGTGAAGGAGGTGACTACCTCTGCATCCCAAGAAGAGAACCCTCCAAGATAGGTAATAGTATAAGATAACTATAGGCACCACTGGCTGTACATACTTACATGTAATGTATGTCTATCAGAAAAAAAATACTTTTGCTTGCTTAGCAGCTATACCTAAGTACAAACATTAGGCGTTCGTGCAAAATTTTCGTTTGCATGTGCCGATAGGAAAGTTCCTGACAGGTACGTTTTTCCAATGCAACAGCCGTTCCCTTTAATCATGGTTTCGCTTGGGAGACCAAAGCAGTCACGAGTCATCCCAAAAATACCTTCCCCAAAATTCAGAACACTGTTTAATAGCAGCTGCGCGTGAATATATGTTGGTATATGAAGATTCGTGAAGTGTTGCGTTCAAACGGGTTATAAACAGGGATTTCCAAAGCCAAAACGTAAAAGGCTAAAAGCGATATAATTGCAAAACCAATAAAAAAATCGTCGCTGGAGATACCTAGACAACTTAATTAGTAAGCGATATTTTCCTCTCAACATCTGCTAAAAATCCGAAATTATCAGAATCGGCTTCTGCGCGTCACATTGATAATTCTCAAAGCCCTTTCAGTCTAATCTTTTTCAAATCTTTTGGAACTATATGGGGGCCGACAGAAATAAAAAATTCGGAGAACCGAAAAAGTTCAGGATTATAGTGAATACTTCTTCAATACGAATACATTAAAATATTTAATCATCTGCTCATATTTTAAAAACGCACTATTTGTCATGAGTGGTACGTAATTTTGTTCTGACATAAACTCTCTTAGACCAAGAATAGCAGATCAAGGCTTGTCTGCTTCAATCAAAACTTGCCGCACTTCTGACCAACCATCCCGAACGCCGTTACAAGATTTCCAAGCAAGAAATTTTCAATAGACCTTTTTCTTCCGGAATAAATAAAAGAAATGATACCTCTATAATATGCTAAGTTGAAAATATACCTATTGGGTGTATGTATAGTATGTCGCTACAAAAACTTTATGGCTGAAATTTTTAATTTGATACTTATCTGTTTTCTATCATTAGAACTCATGAGTCAACCTCTGCTGCGAAAATTGGAGGTTGCTGCAGGTCCATCCGAATCAGTGCATCTGTCACCTACAGCATTCGATCCCTACCAGACGGCCTATAGATTGCAAGTGCCATTCGAACAGCTGGTCGTACGGGTGCGAGCTGCCCCATTCTCCGACGAAGTTATCATGCAGGTGGAGGGCGGCATTCTTGAACCTGATCACTGGTAAGCAGCTCAGTATGTACCTAGTAGTTTAAAGCACTTGTTGCGCTTATTCCCTTAGTATCCATAGAAATTTTACCGAACAGTTGCAGCAATTACTTTGTACTATGACATCTATGAACAAATATTTGTTTTCATCTTTATGATTGTAAACGGGACTTATGATACTGAAAGGACCGTTCCGTATGTAACTGGGTGGCCTTATTCATGTGTGATATGTGTAGAGATAGTAGTGACTCCTAGATGCGTCAAGACCTAGTACAAATAAAATTGAAGCAAACTACTGCCATCACAAAAACGTATAGTACATATTCGAAGATATACATGACATTACAACACTTGTTCCTAGGAAAGCTACAGGAACTAAATGCAAAAGCTACGCAAAATTAGCCAACACACAATGTTAACAGCAAATAACTAACCCTTACTATTTTACTAGATTTTCTACTCGATAATTATGTGTTCTAGTGTATCATTTTGCTCGTTAGTCTGAGACATGGCCTATGACAGCCTTCCTCTGTGTTCACCGTTGGAGGGCACTCCTAAAAATAGTAGGTCCGTTTTACTTGTTGATCCCACATTGTTCCTTCAATGAGACAGTACGACAGGAACTCACTCATCAGTGCGTACTGGAGGAATTGACGAGGACCGTTAATCTCGTTTTAATCGAATTCTTATTTGATAGAGTGAAGTCTCAAATTCGGCAACTGACAAGAGCAGCTTACATGCTGATTGTTGGGGGTTGAGAATTCAGGACGCCCTTCACAAGCCTTTAGCCTAGCGGCTCCTTTGATTACCTTTTTTCCTTTGGGTGGTTTGTCGGTCAGCCAATCTGAATTGGAAGATATCCCAAAGTTGAATCTCTATCGTCAGATCGAAATGGTCACTGAAGACGAAGGGTGGGCATTCATCTTACTTTTACTGCTCACAACGTGGGTGCTGATACCAGACGCTTACCTTGTGCCGTGTGCATTTTCTGTCTGCTTTTCGGCAGCAAGCATAACGGAGACCAGGTAGCTCAATGTAGCAGCTGAAGATATAACAGCAGCAGTAAGAGTGGCTTAGAGATGCTGGTCGATTGCTGCTGCTTTCGCTAGTCGTCAGCCGGGTCTATCTATGGATAGCTATGTTAGTTGGTCTGTTCTTCCGACCGTCGAAGGCTATTAGGCTTTTCAGGGGTGTCCTGCCCAACTTTAGTCAAAGCCCAGACTCGTGTTAGTAAAGGCCGTCAGATCCAATCCTTGAAGTAAGACTATGTCGCACTATCAACTGACACTTGTCACAGGTAAACGGCAACGCAGACACATCGACATAAGCCAATACAGTTAGATTCGTAGACATGAAAGGAACATGGGGCTCAGCTATGCACTACCTCAAGAAACAAGCCAAGGTTGCTTCTTATATATGCGAGTATCGTTGTAAAATAGATCAGCTGTTCTATAGGAAGATTTCTAGAGAGTAATGCGCACATTCGACCTAGTGTTAAGCGAGGAATGGTTGAGGACAGTAAAAATGAGCAGCGTGATTTGAACCAAGGAGCGAAAATGCACTGGATCTCTATTTGTAGGCGATTTAGCGTACGGGGAAAAGCTCCAGCAAGAAAACTACGAAGGATCTTTATGTCCGACTTCTTATCCGACCCTCGAGATCCGTATTCACGTCCCTGTGTCTTTATTCTATAGAGAGCATGCTCGTAGCAGGAGTAGAACAGGAGGATTGGCCGTAAGGATAGGCGGGCAAGGAAGCGCTTTTGGATCACTGGGTTTTCCGAGCTGTAGTACTACGGTGCAAACGGGGGTGAGATCCTTACCCGATTTTCGCCTGCCCGAACTTGCTCCCTTTCACCGGACGCAAACAGCGACGAGTCACGGGGACGAATCGGGAGTGACTAATATAGCCTGCTTCACATCCTCCCAAGGGAATCGTTTAAAGCACGTACGGTCGGCTCTGTCGTCTGCTGCGACGGCAGATAGCCAGTATTCCTCCTCCCTGCTGCTGTAACTGCTTCTTGCTTTTACTGCTAGCGGTACTTCTGCTACCGTGGTAGGTGACAGTACGAAAAACGTGTCAGTTGAGCAGCGCCGAGGCAGGTTCGTAGTGAGTGGTGACATCGATGTCTGCTGTGGTAACGATGGCCATAATCGGCACATGGATACAGAGTCAGCAGTCAACAGAAGTTAAAAATCCAGCACTCCGTTCAACCTCTATTCTGCGAGCTCTGTCTGTTCGCTCCATCCGTCTCCTTGCTCTATAAACCTCGTCTCCACAGCCTGTCCTTACTGTCACCGACAGACACCGGTAAGAACAACGAGAGGAGATGGCCTGAAGCGGCGATGGGTGAGCAAATAATCCCCATTTCCGCTTTTCTTTGTTGCCACTTCCGGCGCCCTGCCTCACCTTGTGCCGCTACCCAGCTCAACTATCCCGATCCCGTTTCCGGTGTAAACGGTCAAGCCAAACGACAGTCTGCATTGTAGACGCACACTAACTCTTATGCCTGAGGCTGGTCTCCAAGGGGTCGCCCTCTAACCATCGCTACTACCTGCTACTTTGCCTTCTAACCTGCTGGTTCTATCCGCTCCGTGTATCTGAATGAGATTGGCTTGTGCACAAGATCATCCAAATAGTGTTGCTCTTTCCTGCAATCTCCTACGCAGAAACGGTGCGCGAAACTGTCACTTACCTACGTAGCTGTCTACATCGGCCTGTCTGTCTGTCTGTCTGTCAGTTGGTTTGTCCAATGTTCGTATTTAACGGAAAAGGCAGACAAGCAAGTAAGTACCAATGGACAGCGCAGTAGAAAACACAACCATTAAGGAAGGTAGCAGTTCAGCCAGCTCGTTAACAGTCCTTTCCATCCGAGCTTTTCGGTGCTCTAGCCCCCTTACAGCCCACCGTTTTCTTCCCCCGTTAATCATCGGTGAAGCTCACTTGTTCGTTCAGTCCCCCACCAACGAAACTGGACGCAGGCCTAGGCATAAGCGACGACGTGTGGAAAGGGTCCTCAGGCAGGCCCATCAGCCATCAAGCCAGCGCTTGGGAAGGACCAAGGGAATAGGCTTATCTCGTGGCGCGTTTAGTACCCGACACCTTACGATGTATCTTTGGGAATAAGGGAATGACGATGCCAATGGGGTGACGAAAAGCGGTAAAGAGAAGTGGGTCTTTGGATGAGAGGCATCTTGACCTCACGGTTGGCCTCTAACGCCCACCACACCCTGTTGACCCTCGGCACAGCTGGACATGCCGATCATCCCAATAGCTTGCTTCCCCCTCGATTCCTCCACGTTGTGTACACATTCACAAGTTTAGTCACTCACCCATGTTGTTGCCACAAGCGAGCCCGGGTAGCTGAGTCGTCGTAGAAGAAGAAGTGACAGGGTCACCACTGTGCGGTGTATTGAAAGCTGAGGCGTGACAGTGCAGGACCAGTTGATTGGGTCGAGTTTCTTCCATACGCCCTTCAAAACTTGAGTCATGGAAGCGGGTGAGTAGACACGAATTGAGTGAATTCTTTAGAGGAGAAACGGAGACAAACTGAGCAAAGGGCCCCACTGGCGACATAACATAATTTTCTGCACGTAAAAACCTCTTAAACTATTACAAGAGCCTGACAGGGAAAGAAATAATCGCGACTAACCTCTACTACATATCAACAATAGAACTAAAATCTCCTATACAGCAAGACCAACTATTGCAATTACACCATGTAATATACGCAGATACGCTTTCTTTTCACATTCAAAAAAACGTCCTTTAACCGTGTAAATATTGGGTCGCTCAGTATAGAATTTCTCAGACGTCAGCGTATCCACAAAAAAAGAAGAAGTAAGAAGTCGCCTGTATATACCCAGAGCGCGATTAATTTGCATCTACATGTTCATACTTGTGCATACGCTCCACGTTTCTGAATCTGAGATCCCTTTTGACTTCAAATACTAGAGACCCTGCTTGACGTTGTATAGAGAGAAGGGTTATGTCTAATACTCCGTCTTTTAACTAATCAGTAAATTTTTATTTCAAACTTTATTATTTTTCACGATTTTTTAAATGTGCGCGGTCGGATATTTTGTACAATTGATTGACGGTAGTTTTTCTAATAGGAATTGAAAGAACTGAATGGCTTCAAAGTAAAAGCCAGGAATAAGTGTACATACGAGTGAATGTGTTGAGTTAAACTAAGACATCATACTCTTGGACTCGTTGTATTATGTCAAAAGGCTTCATTTCAAAGGTCAATTATGCTTTTGACGATTTGATTCATATAACCTATTGTTCGGTGAAAACAATGGTGTCAACATATACATCAGCCTGCAGATCCTTACGATCATCGATTACAGTTATTTATGCATAACTATTACCTCCGGAATCACGGATAACCATGATATTATTTATATAGGCCTCAATACGGTGACGTGCGTTTAGGAGGGCAGTGTCTTCTCACTTCTCTAGCGAAATGCAACTTATGTATGTTTCAGTACTCGGACTATTTGAAACCTAGCGTTACGCTGCGCGGCGAAACTTAATGCGGATATATAAAATACGAGTCATAATCTTCAACCTCACCAACTAAAGAAGTAAGACGGTAGAACGTTGTCTCCTCTAAATGTGTTTCATAAGCATATTTAAAAAAAAATTTTGACTCTGGCTTTATCGAATAACTAACTCTTCCTTGCACGAAATCATTACTTAAAGACACATATATATGTTTCTTTAAAAATGACTATATTATCTGGGCTCAATGGCTCACTACAACTCATTGATTTTTAGAAAAAAAAAATCAATCAAAAGATATAAATTGAAGACATCAAGGTTACTGGCCTGTGTACCCCCCACAAAATGTGTTAGAGGTAGAGCTAACGCTTTCGTGCTAGCAAGTCAATAATTTGACAAAATAGCAAGAATATGCTGTCTTCCTAGAAAGGACTGTTAGCGTGGCTGCAAGGAACGATGCTTTATAATCAACCATTCAGTGTCGAATAAGGCAGGTCAAAGGTTATGACTCGTTTATTATTATAGGCCAATGGAGTTCTGTTACGCAGTGTGAAACGAGCACTGAATGGTCCAAGGACAAACCCATCGACGAACGTCGGAGGAATCAGGAGCAGCAGTAACATGTGCGCACAATTTTGCAAAGTTGACCGTATGAGGCCTGCATGATTATATCATGAATAATTGATCATGGTAAATTCTGGCCCATAATCATGATTATTCGATATATGGTACATATGTCGACAATATTTTGATATGTATCCAAAGAATTGGCTTTACTTATAAGCTTGTTAGAATTTCTTTTACAAGCAAATTTGAGACACGATATTGACACAACAAGATGTAATATGACGAGTGCGGAAACTGAAAATCTTAGCTGAACTTTATACGCATATCTCATTTAGTCTCTTAGATTGCTTAGTTATATAATTTTCTGTAAAAATAGCATCGACAGAATTTACAGGTGGTCCATATAGCCAGCTGCCTCCTCGGTCTGCATAGCCCGCAGGATGATGATGTAATATAGTACAACGTAATCACTTTTATAAGGCGACCTGCATTAGTTAACCGTTGAGAATATTTTTAGAAAAATAACCTGGTTACCACTTAACAAAAGTCTTATAAAATGCGAGAGATAATCTGGTAGTCTCTTTGAAATTTAGACAATGAACGAACTGTGGGACATATCTGACCAGAACGCATCTCGAAAATCCTAAAAGTTTCGTAGTATTAGAATTTAGAGAAAGAGGAAGCGGCATATTCTCCTACGTATTATCGGTCAGAAGTTCCTAGAGGGTCTGTCAAAAAAAAAAATATAGCTAGTTTCTTCACATTCATTTAGGTAGCCATTGGAGAGATATATAAAAATTATTATATTAAACTACGCTAGACAATTGTAACATACAAGTGTTCCCGTTACGTTACACAGTTAAATCGACTCGTTAATGTATGTTCTTTTTTCAAAGCGAAAGCTGTTTTTTAAAAGCTATACAGTGACCTTTATCCACCCTGTGCATAATTATAGTATCGTTTTATTACCAACTGTTTCTATATAGATTGGCACTTCACCCAACTGACTTCCTACAACTTCCACGATGAATGCCAATAAAATTGTGAGTGAGGCGATGCTGCTGCAGTAACGGTATGTTCTTATCCCGGCGTAATTTAATCCCAAGTCCAAGCATACCGGACATAGCTTGGTAAGTTTGCTGTAAGGTTAGTTGAGAGCAGAGAGGAAGAATCAAGATGTTGGTAATGAAGCCTCGGCGGAGGCCAAAATTGTTGTACAGATGGGGCTCTTACTGATTCACTAATAACACAGCCTATAAGTAGAAGGATTTGGACAACAGGCGTAATAAACTAATCTCTATAAATAACATAAATAAAATAATAACATGCATATACATCTTTTTGCGACGTAAACTTTTGCTATCAAAACAAATATCATGTAATTAATAAAGGCATCGTGCTGCATATGTACGACGATGTCCTAAGGCTACTACTAGGATGACGAGGCACTAGCTAGGCTTTACGCCACTCAAAAAGAAGCGGCCTCTTCTCCGCCTGAGTCCCATTCTCCATTTGATTGTCTGTTTGCGCAGGAGCTGAGGCAGATGAAGTACTTCTTCATGACAGAGCCGTCGTGTGTAAACTCTCGAAGTGCAAACTATGGTCCCTATACGGGTATCGAGTGCTTGTAACCTGGTTTAGGCTTCGTTACGTTGATTCGATTGCGTTTTATTTGGTTGCATTATTCCTGCCGCTATTGTTACATGAATACATATTATAAATATATAGTTGTTTTTTTTTTTTTTTTTTAATTTATTTTAATTAAAGCCGAAGCAAATGGAAATGATTGATTCAATACGAATGAAAGGTTCCAGAAGCTTATGTTGAATTGGCGCTAAAGAATAGTTAACTTAACCATAATGCCGTTTGGCAGGCTTCGTGTTCAACGGCTGACTCTGACTTGTCAGAAAAATACGATTATCTGCATATTTTATAATAGGTAAATAGCAGACAATACAGCCCTAGTCAAGACCTGAACATGAAATTAGCCCTAAAGCATATTTTTTTGTATTTATTTTTATCGTCGTCTTAATTTATGGCAGCATTGAAGCGTTAGCACAGATCGGGAAGATCAGTGCTTTTTCTGCTATTAGAATCTCAGGCGGTAGACGGAATTTTTCGTATTTTCATTAATCCTGACTCAAATAATAATACAGGAATATTGTTACTTTACAAACACTGAACTAAAAAAATGTATTGTTATAAAGCTTGCGAGTCTGTATGATTACTTTTTTCATGTACCAGCTTTTCTCTTCTCCTCCTCAATACATTGGCTCAATTATAATGGAAGCATATAATAGAACCCACAATCAACGGCTGTGTTTTGCATTTTGAATTTGAACCCGTGATACCTTTTCTCGAAATTAGCGAACAGCGGACGCTTCTCGGAAGGTGTGCCTTCTTCAAATCCGTAGCTCGGAGAAAAACTGTGGATCAGATAACGTGCTAATAATATTTTTACTAATTAATTATTTCTGCTTACACATGAAACGAGTATAAGCTGCGACGTATGGGCAAAGGAAACTTGACGTTTGCCTCACAACAAACCAACCGTGTGCCTATTTCTTCTGTATTGTCTTAACTGCTCTGAAGGTTAAACTATACTTGTGGTACGGGTGAGACCATGCTGATTTTGCATCTGACGACAAGAGATAAGGCGCGCACGTTGAACAGTTATACGCTACTTGTCACGCGCCAGAGACCTCCGTCGCCCCCACACGTCCACGCTCTTCGCGTGTGCCAAATGTACCAGGTAAGTCAATCGGTGTTCAATAACTGATACCCATTGATCATGCAACATTTGTGACAGTAATAACACGTTATCCGCGTGCTATGCACCAGGAAAGCGTTTTCTATATCCAAATTTAGTTTTAACTAACATTAGAGGTGTTCTGAACGAGATGAGATTAAATTTTTAGCCAGTGTTAATGCCGTATCGTTTATAATAACAAGACGAAACGATAACATCGAAGCTGGTACGAACTCATATTACCATGGTGAATGCACCTATATGGTGTATTCCGGTGTTTCTATAGGACAGTATTATGGCCATAACTTAAAAATAGCCGCCATATGTTGCTGATAATTCTACTGCGGAAACATAAAAAGGATGAATAAACATTGGGTGTTTTCTAAATAGCATTTTTTTTTTTCGTTTGAACAACGTTAGCTGAACTTGCGCAAATAACTTTCTGCGTCACTTAACTCAACATAATTAGCTTTACCGTGTCCCTATAATAAACTTATTGAAGCGCTAATGGCAAAATGCTATGAGCATCAATTTGTTATATAAAATCTGTATCGTGTACTTCACTCGTAGGAATAGCCAGTTTTCATCGTTCTTTAACTACGATATTATGCGGAACAAAGCTACACTTGCCTTGCATGCGTGATACAGAAAGACCGCTGTGATTATTATATTTTTGCGTTGTGACATCACTCTGGTCGCGATACCCGGCTAGGGCGTATTGAGCTCATATGGTCACTTTAATACAACGTCGCCTCTCGATAACCAAGTCGTGTATGACCTCGTCGCCAGCGCCTACATTTTTACTATTACGGAGTTTTGCTGAGCTAAACAACGAACGATGAATATAAGGACAAACGTCAAGATTGATAACCATTCGTACGCTTCGAAAAAACGTTGTGCATTTGTCGTTTGCAGTCAGGGCATCGCCAGCTTCTTCGCAGTATGGCTGCTACTGCTGCTTCTGCCGCTGTTACTTTATTGCTAATATCAAGCTAGAGCGGTCCTCCAGTTTAGCATCGAAAGGGGTCTGATGGTTGGCATTCGGCTTTACAGCCATCGGCCACCATCATCACAGCGGGAAAACCAAGAAGTGTCCGCAGAAACGGCTAAATCCACACACTTCTTAGTTCCGCTTGGCTTGCTCTTCCCTTGATAGAGACAGTGGCACCGGTTGTGGAAGCGGCGGTGGTAGCCGCAACGGATCATGCAGATGTCTTTTTTCTCACCGGGTCGAACGAGGCCTAGTGAATCCCGCACTTCCTGATATTTTTCTCCGCAGATATCCTTTGGGAGGCTGCTGCAGAGATGGCTCCTTGGCCTATTTTCTTGGTCGTCTTCCGGCTTTTTTTGCCAAGCGACAAGAAACAGCAGGGTACGCGAGGATCGGGAACCGTTGAAGACCCGCTAGGCGTTGACGGGTCTTGCTGGGGCGCAAGACGACCTGTCGTGCACATGGATACGCTCGAATTCCCACGCTTGAAGGCGAAAAGAAGACGAGCGGGTTTCTATCGTTATTGGAGGGAGAAGTAACAGCAGCAGGAAGAGGAGGAACCGGAAAGAGCCATGCTGAACCGGGTGTACCAGCAACACTGGCTATGCCCGCCCGCCGGCTGGCCGGTCGTCGCTCGACTCCAGTCGCAATGCCAGCCATACCTGGTGCTTGCTGAATAAATATGCGGTGTCGTATCTATTCGCAAAAGAAGTACTCTGCAAGCAATATCTTCAATCCCTTGAATGAATGCCCTCGGTAACGCTTCTGCGAGAGGCTAACACTATCTATACCATCATTACCCTACGCCCCTCTCTTCCCCCCTGGCCAAAGGAATTCGTCCACTTCTAGACAAACGGACCGGAGCTGGGCTGGCTGACAGGATGGCGGAACGGTTCGAATCGGACGTGAGCAGGGAAAACGAGACGAAGCTGAGGAAAGAAACTCCTCTAGTCGTTTGCGTTAGAGTAGCAGCGGAGGATCGAAATAACAGCAGTCTAGTAGCAGGGGCAGCAGTGCAAATAAGAGGAAATAGTGGCGAACTCGGAAATCCCCGGATGACTTTACGCGCTTTCGTGGGTTCTCTTACCCACACTCTCTGGATTTCTCCCCCCCCCCCCCCCCCCGACGGCAAGGTTCGTCGAGAATCTGCTGCTAGAAATGGCCCTGCAGACGTCGCATGAAGAAGTATGAATGAGCGGTATGTGGTGCGAAGCTTAGCGACTTCCTGTTCTGCGCTGTCGCATCCGGACGACGCACGGACACACAGATGCGATAGTGACAGTGGCTAGAACGCTGGTACCGTCACTGCCGTACGCCTGGATCTGACGCCTCTAAGCGCTGGCCCCGCTTCCGACCTTGCTGTCGCTTACGGTCCTCGCTGTCGCACTGAAGTTGAAAAGCAAGAAGCGTCTTTTCGTTTTAAGGTTGTGCAAAAAACGGAAGGCCTAAAAGTCAACGGAGATTTTGAGAAACTTCGGCTGCTGCAGGCATGTGCAGTTTCGCCTGCTAGCCCGCTAGTACTTTGCTAGCCATATAAGCTCACCCCGAACCAACTCAATTGAGGAGGTGGGAATAAGCGGATGTAAAAGCTTTTATGCACCGGAACCTGAGTACAGCTATCGTCAGGGTTCCTGTCCTTGTCGCCGTTGTCGCCTTAGCCCTCTCAACCGGCACCTTTTACCGGATTGGCAGCATTAAGTTTGGCTATTTTAAAAGTTAAAAGGCTTAAATGCACCTTACCTTTTCGTCTGCACGTGCACGTATACCCGACACTTAGAAAGCAGCTTTACGGCAATGTTGAGAGTGTGTGTGCGAATGAAATGACCGTCCGGTCGTTGCTGCCTTTGTCAATATTCTTTAGTGGCAATGGCTCCGAAGCTGGAGGCACAGGTGCTAAACCAACGCCTCTACAAAACTTGTGTTTATACCAACTAATATCAGGGCCTTTGTAGCTATGTCTTTCTGTAGCAGTTATCATGTACTATCTATAGCTGCTAGAGGCTAAAGGATTTTCGCACTAGTCGAATTGCATTTTGGGCCTGCTCCAACTCCTTCTAGGGCCAATTTCGAAAAGGCAGGAACCCACCTCCAGATGTCTCTTCTGCTCCCTCTTGTTCACCGGCGTTAAGCGCCACTAGCGGAGTCCGATCTCAAGATACAGACACTATAAGAAGCTGTAGGAGGGCAACACGAAAAGCACAAAAACGATAAGAAAAAAAAGCAATGTCGTCGCTGCCGACGTCAGTGTTACCATCAACGTTTTTTCGAGTCATTACAAAGTAAAAATAAGACATGACGACGACCGAAGAGATTACGACAGCTCGTGAGCAAGGGTCTGGGGAAGACGCTGAAACATGGCCGGTATGTCAGATGGGACGACTACAGGAGCAAGTGTGCACGCAAACGACTCAAAGCAACCGGCCGCCGCTTGGTGCAGGGTAAGTTGCAACGGCATTTAAAGACCGTACTTCATGAGAAGTGACGAACGAGAAACGTGTAGAAACGATTATTATGAGATTTAGGAGCGGCTATAGATAGCGCCTTGGTTACGTTTGAGATAAATTTGGGAACGCTGTTTGCCCACAGAGCAAATACAATAATACTTCCAGATGTGTAAGCACTATGAATAAGGCTAGCAAAATAAAAAGGCCGATGAAGGTGACCAATACACCAAGCGGTACAAAGCTGTGCTCAGCTAAGTTGGATAGTGTAGGCATGTGATATGTTACCGTATCCGACGAGTACACACTTCTGCCATGTAAAGAATAATAAAGTATGGTCAAGGTGTGAAAGAATCTTGTCGACGACCAAAAACACTCAAAAGACTAATGTGTATAATTAGTGAATAGTAGAAGATGATTCTAATTGCTAATTTTTAGTTTTCTATTCTGAAGAATATAATCTATCTATGAATATGAGTAGTGACATCTTAGACTAGTAAATTATTTAGCCATGAACTTAATCAGTACTTCCTAACGAAATTTACCAAATACGCACACTGTTTCCTGTACCTTTTAAGACCCTAAAATTCTCATTATTTAAGATGCATAAATAGTAATCCTATGTTTTTATACAATGCTTTCACAATGCAAACTAAGACTAATAGGCAGAGCTGTCTCGTTTGGATTTTCCAGTCATCTGATGCATTTATGTCCCGTGTAGAATATAGCTCGAGCTTCAGAAAGATGCGAGTTCTTTCGATTTCAGTCTCGAAGGGCGGTGCAGTTTCAGGAATATGCTAATCTTGCAGGCATCCTAAATAATATCATGAGATGCTGCTTTTATTCAATCTTTTCATAATTTTGAGTCTTTTTTACAGTAACGAGGCAATTATAAAACAGATACGACTGTTTTTAGAAGTCCGGAAACCACCCTGTCGCCCTGGGGCAGCACGCGAAGAACAAACATGGGTTTTTACCTTTTGAACGTCTGCAACGAAACTTAGAAAACGAACGATACCTGCGCGGACCAAACTCTCCGCGTCTACCCGATTAGATTCGAACGGCAATGTTTGTCAGAACTGTATTGTACGAACCAACTCGGCCAATTTTGCCACAGTACATAATATCTTGGAGATGAGTAACTGGCTTTCACTATCAGCCAATGTAGCGATTGCAAAAAGCTTCTCAGCGGAATACTTCGGTACTTGAGTACTCTTATCAGCGGGCGGAAGCGATGGGCAAGAAAGCTGCTGTTGAAGTAAGGCCAACACAGTAATATTAATGGAATTTGTAAATGACAGTGCGAGCGCTTACTATCAGATCTATAGGTCAGCTCAGATTATTTGCTGCCCCTCCTACCGGAGCCAGTGCCCCGCGTACTCCGGTGCACATCGTCATCCTTTTCTAATGTCATGGCGAAACGTGCAGCTTCTTAAATACAGACAGGCGTCTAGTCCTTCGCGGGAAAGGAAGGAGCGAACGGTTCTCATATAAGTCTGAGAGATACAGGTTACAGCGGAGTCATGCTACGAAGACCGAAAGCGCACTTAAGCTATAATCATTGCGACAACGGACTGACTAGTATTACCTATTATTTGCCATGCTAATTGATGCACTGGCTGAGAAGACCCAACCAGATGGATGCAATAACGTGTTTTATCAGCTTTCTTCATGGAGTGCTACATTTAATACTTAGGAGAGGAACGCTAAAAAGTCCGATTATGTTATTTCGCGTTTACGGAACCGCCCCTTTATGCTGTACGATCCCAAGTCAGCTGGTACATTCTGTTTCATTGAAGATGCGAACGAAACACTTTTAAGTTCTCGCATTTTTTAAAAGCTTTCGCACCACTTACGAACGTTCCATATACGTCGACATACAACTTATCACAATAGATAATTAGTAAACTTCAGAGAGGCGAGTGTCTAGTTTTTTTTAGTGTTTCTTTACAACTATGTATAATAGACGCATACTGTAAACAAGCTCGGCCTTTGACTGACAAGTACGAGATGGGATGAGAATGTATTGAATCGCTTGCGTTATGGCACTGGGTGAAATTGATCGAACGACTGCTCGAGAATGAAAAAATGTTATTAATTACATAGCGCATGCTATCAGTTGAAAATGTTTTTACTTTAATGTTATGCATGTATGATTATGATTGTCCCATTTACCAGACTTAGCTCTACACTTACATATATATATATATGTATGTACATAGACACCTCTATAAGCGAGCTAATTGCCAGCCGTTTTCGATTTTAGCGTAGCCTTGTTTGTGCTAAATTAAATTATAAATTGTCCCCGTGCCGACTTCTAGATTCTGGTCTAAGGTGCTTAGCCCCTAACACAGCCAGCAAAGGGTAACGACTGTTTAAATACGATATGATACTGACAAGGCTAGTATTTTGAACATAGCGTTTATTCGCGCGGCCCCAAGGCTGATCTAAAAGAGGAAAAAAAACCATAAACAATTTATAAGAATACTAGAAAACGATTGAGGAAACATTGTGTCTAGCCAGGACGATTAAGGCTCCAAAGTGAGATTGTCTTTTCTAGAGAAAGCATAGCGTTATTTTGAATTGAGTTGACTTGGTTATTTATTTACTGTTTACGTATTTCGTGTTTCAATACAACTCTATTATTAACCTTTATGACAAAGCTAGAAGTGATTGGTTCTAGGCACGACTCAAGAACAGACATCTCTCAGTTTTCTGTCCTTTAAAGCAATTCTTTACATAAATTATAATCCGGTCATATTATTCATATATGGTCCGACCACATCTTTGCCGTTGATACAAGAATTCCGTTGTGTCCGGAAGCAAGTATTGTCCTTACGATGATGTCCTGAGTAACACGGACGAATCAAGGGGACGCCATGGCGACTCACGTCTTTTGGGAAAGTGAGATTATTAGAAGCAATGTTTATTGGGAGATTTTGTATAAATTGTGGTGAGACTGAGAATTGCCTTTGGCTATAACATACGTCTTTCGGCAAAACTAGAGAAGAGATCATTTAGAGTTCTTTTATATGTGAGCCACTACAAAAGTAAGAACTTTTCGAATTGGATCCACTGTATTAAGCTCATTTTGACGCTACTTCTTCGCTTACCTTAACAAGGGATTTTTGAAAAAACCTACGAGTAATAGTAATAAGAAACGCAGCTACGAATAAGAATGAAGGACACTTTCAAAGTTGCTGCCAGTTATAGTTCTCTAAGGAAAAATGCACTGCATTTCAAACATAATAGGTATCCGCGATTCTTTCATAAAATCAATGAAGAATGACGCCGTATTTTGAAGAAATAGGTGGTGCGTTCTTTACTTCATGTACCAATTAGCTGCGTTTACAGCGCGCTCAGATAGATACAGACAGTAGAACACAATCCGACTGCCCCTGCAGCCTTTTTTAAAAAATAATTAGAGAAGTGTCATTTGAGACTTTCTAATAGTAATCGTTTGTACCTGTGTGCAAATTCAATGCACACCGCGATGATCGTTCGCGATTTATTTCTGTCACGGATTAGGAGAATGCGCGCAGGATTTTTACACCATCACCACCAAAAAATTGTGCCTCGACCTTGTCCTTCTATTGTCATTGATAGAGTCATCAACTCAAAAATCATCAGCAAGTACAAACAAGCTGTTTGTCCTCGTAACAGGCTGTGCTAGTGTTTGTTACAGCATTTTGAGTGGAAACACTTTCTGCGAAAACCCATATACTATAATAGTATCGTATATACGCAATCGTCGTCAAACTTCCTCTTTTTCGTGACGCCAAATTGCGGTGTTTCTCAGTGAATTGATTTACTAAGAAATGGACGCTAGCGCTGTCGTGCTACTGGGAGCGGTAGTCGCGCAATAAATGATGTGCCAGAAAATGTTTCATTACGAACTTGATGACATGCCTATCGTAGATGACCATTGTACTTCAGTGTCGCCGACGGCCCTTTGGCGTTGGCAGGAGAATTCTCTCATAGTAAATGACCAAGAAACAATAGATGACCATGCTTAAATTGTACTTTTTACTACGGATGTAGCGATTTGTTCGATTCGACAGTTATGTAGTAATGCCGTATTGTGACAGGTTTCGACAATGATTAATCTTGAACGCGACCCATCGTAATCGAGCGGGATCATCTTGATCAGTTAGGCTTGCCGGTAGGTTTAGACATTAGGGATACCGGTAGGATTTAGACATTAAATTGAATAATTGAATGATACTCATGGTAATCTCTATGCAATAAACTTCTCTCTTTCAGAATTTTCGTTACAATAGAACAGTCTGACTCCAGTCACAATATAAGCGTCGTAGAGATTCAGCACTTCAGAATTTTGAAGAAGTGTGATAACATAAATAGTCTAGCCGAATTCAGGAGAAGAGGCATGAGATATGCGACAAAAGGCTATATAGTATATTTGGAAAATGCAATTTCGTCCGTGTTTTCATTCGACTTCTGCGTCCAGTTTACCTTACCGACTATTGACTTCTGCCGACAGACACTGACTGGCATCTTGGCAATACTTCGTCGACCACAACACAATTAATACGTTCACTAACACACAATAGAATCGTCTTCTACGTTTAGGCTATCTGTCGTTCGGATACGCAGCACAGTAACGAGCAGCAGTATAATACGCTGAAAATGTTGTACTTCCACACATGTTAGTATTTTTTTTTCTGGTATAGTTCTACCTCGTCATTTGCCCCTTCCTCTACTCATTCTGTTCTTCAGCATAAAATGAGCTGCCAGAAATGGCAACAAAATCAGTACACAACCTCATCATATCTCGCTCTTCTGATTTTGTTTATCATCGCCTCACCTATTGTCTAGCTTTGCCCCGCCGAACGTGCAACATAATACAATAGATTATAACGTTGTCTTGTGAATCATTATTAACGTAGTACCCATTTGTTATTTAGCGTCTGTTCTCTCGTCATCTCAATGCTTGCACATACCATTATGGTCTACTTGCTGTTAAATATCTATCTGATAAGCATAGTTCTGGTAATAGTTAAGAGAAGAAAAAGGAGACGCAGCAATGGTTGACATGTTAGTTACGTATGATACGTAATCGTAACGTAAAAACTGAAATCAGCGTTCCTCTGCGTTACTATGCACGTGCTAAAGCCAGCTACATCTGATAGGTTTTAGCATGATATAGCGTGTGATGCTGGATGTTGTAATACGGAAATGAAACTTTTCAATGTGTTTCATTCGAACCGTTGCTTCGCTAGAAAGTAAATTTATGCCGACAATTACGTCCTTAACTTTATTTCTGCTATATATTGTGTACATATTACGCCGTCGAATATGTTACTCGCATATAGTAATAAAAAATATACGTACACGGCAGCGGATATGCCATACAGGCTAATCTAAAATATGGCTTTATTTCAATTGCGGGACAGCCGTCGTTCCCGCTGACGCCTTTACTAGCGACACAAGCACACGTTTCCATATTTATTTTTCTATATTTGATATACGACGCACGTACAGTCGACTAATCCTCACCTCACATAGGCTATTTAGCCATATTGGATCCTTTGGGTTTAACACTGTTGGACAGAGTGGGCCGATCGTTATTGGTGCTCTCCAGCCCCGCTATACTGTACGCTTATGACGGAACGACGCCAAGGTTACTATGAATGCTGGTAATGTTTGGCGTTACCTTACACAATTGTCCACCTCCGTGTTTATGTCTGTCGTAAGCGATATGGCGGCATCCGACAGCATTGACGAATTTCAATAGCATGGGATGAAATATCGAACCTCAATGACGGAAGAGAAGCAATACTACTCTATACTACCTTGTACTTCGTAACATGTAACCTAAATGATGCCTACTCTATTTTTAGCCAGAGGTGGCCCATTTGGGGTAGATCAGCAACACCTATATGCGAAATAAACCGTACGGTTTCTTTTATCTAAACGTAAATTTTCTTGGAAATTTCTTGTTGCAATTATAGGACTGCGAATTAAAGGTGGACGAGGCCCGCGGTTGTGGAGTTGAGCGACTCTCTGGGTCACGGCTACACACTCCTAACTGGGAAGTTTACTGGAACAGCAGGCAGCACCTGCCGTTGTGCAAGAACGGATTTTCCGCCGACGGTAAGTAATACCTTCCAGAGAAGCCATGGCCTGTCTATTTATATACGTAGGTTTGCAAAGAACTGGACAGTGTGACTGTGGACAAATCCAGCCTAAAGTATTCTGCAAAAAAGTACAAGTAAAAGATACGAGCACCTCTCGACTACTACGTAATTAGGTACGTGAGTTGTATCACCAGCTAAGTAAACCCAGCTTTTGTGTTAGCTGATACAGTAAATGTTTGAGCTACAATCACAATTAGACTTAATGAGCCCGAAGCAACACATTTATTAGAGGTTTTGCCGTTGATTCGTTTTAGTTCTGTTCATGTGTATAAGTGCCTTAACTATATCAGTTTTGATCTGCTTCACCCATTGTCACTCGATAGTCCGATGACACAGGACGTATTAGTCTCACTTGTTGGCTGTTGTTCAACTAACGCCTCTGCATTGTCAACTCTAAGAGAGTAGATGCCTGCGAGGGTCCACCCAACAGCTGTAGTCGTCGTCGTCGTCGTCGTCGTCGTCGTCGTCATCATCGGGGTGATGTCCTCGCAGCGTTGTCCTTTGTCCTTCTACGATCTAATCACCAGCGTCAGTGGCAACAGACCCTCTACGTCGATTAGACGGGAGGCCAATTAGACGAGAAGGACCACTAGGGTCGCCGGGGCCACGAACAAATAAACGAGGTCCGCAAACATTGACAAACACACAGGAACGGACATATACTCGCGCCCACGTACACACACACACACACGCAGATAAATACACAAAACCCTTGAACGAACCAATTCCACGTCCTACACCAGCGTTAACCACAGCAATATCAACAGCTACGAATGACCAAGATAAATGGTAGGCAGCGGACGTAGCGAAGCAACTACGACACCTCAGTATAAATCCGACAGGGTGGCTCCTGATAAAAGTCAATGGTAGCTGCCGCAATGGCCTCATTTAAGACAGAAGGAGGCAATGGGAAGAAGATTGTCCATCTAGATCTTCATCATGAGCGAACACTGTAAAGCTGGTAATTTATGTAATGCATCCTTGTACTCGCTTTCGCGAAGCTTCGCTCGAGTTTTAGCCCGTTAGCTAATTATGCCATTATTGAACGCTTGTCGTTGTATTGAGAATAAGTGGCTCGAACGAAAGTTACGATGAAAAGCCTAGGGCCAACCGGAACACAGACACCTCAAGGGTACCACTTATGGCTTCGTATATACGTATGTACTACGAGCGTAAGCGAAAGGTATCATGTTTTAAATTCTGCTTCACTTTACTATACAACGAGATTAATGGTAACGTTCAAAAAACGTTCCACATTTATACCATAACCGATATATGCGCTAAGGCATATTATATACATAGCTAAGTCATCTTCGGTCTTCTAGATGAAAACGACAGACGACTATTCCTATATACATACATGCGCGTGTATGCATATAGGAATTATATTGATTGAACGATTATGTTGACTGGGTATCGTCGTTTATTCCGGCTGCTTGCGACACACAGAGCAATATTGAACAGTAACAATAGAAAATGTCGTTATGGATAAACAGGCCTAAAGGCTGTGCCATGACTAACATTGTCAACAGATGCGAGAATAGGACTAAATCCACAAGTTGAGATGCTGTACGTTGTTATAAGGAGGCTGACGTGGCAGTGCTGCTCAATCACCGAGCCAGGCGGATAACAGCAGCAGACGAATACAGTGCTTGAAGACGTGTTCTTATTATACGAAAACTGTAGAACATACGAAATTAAAAGAAAAAAAAAAAAAAACAACAGTACAATTATCAATTTAATGTCGACTTTTCATAGCCGAACGGCTTGGTTAGTTGGCACTAATTGTGAGAATGACATCATATTCGAGTTATCAGCTGGCACGAATTGCTAGCGTCCTCTGCATCTATTTTCGTCCTGATCAGGAGAATCTAAGCAGGAGACAAGGAGCTGTCGGCATAATTTTTTTATAGCGGTTACCATTAGTCCAGCCAGCCAGCCAGCCAGCCAGTCAGCCAGCCAGCTAGCGTCGATATTCTAATCATGATCATAGTGAGTACTATTATTATTAATAAATATCATCTTTGTTTTGGAAAGATCGACTCGTAAAGGCCTTGCGTACTTTCAATGTGCGTAGTACTTGTCTGCGAGACCGTCTAAATAGAGAAAGTTGAATACTCAGCATAATATTAATAGTAGCTAGCTTTTATACTGATTCTAGCGCGTCAGCTAGTTCAGAGGAGGCGAAGACCGCGCGTCTTCCTTATCATCTTTATATTTGTCCGTACGTTATAACAAAACGATGCTACCAGTGTCACTGTGTACGTTCCACACTCCTGCAAAGTTCGTCATTCCAGGTATTATCATGACTTTTTTTTTTTTCATCATTTTGCGTTTGTTATTGGTGTCATCGAATGAATAACGTCGTACTACAGCAACCGAAGCAGGCAGTACTGCTTAGTGTTAGACGGACAAGTTGGTTTGTTATGAGAAAATTAAAGTGATACTTTTACAGACTGGTCAATGTTTTTTCCCCGCTGTCATTGTCAAATGCCAAAAGCTGACAACGCACGCCTGATTTCTTGACGTAATCGTTTGCGGCCAGCGTCTAGTATGAGCCCTACAGGGACCAAAACGATTCAACGGCTGGCACCGTTTGTCCACCATTCGAGCCCGTAGAGATTCTTCGGTGTCATAACATCGCTGGTGCTTTTTCTTAAATTAAATTCTATCTACCCAGTTTTTACATGGCGTTCGCATTGGTTCGATATGCAGCTAGAACTGGTAGAGTGCTATGCTTATGGAAGAAGTCAAAATGGAGAAAATTGGATTTTAGACGTATTTACTAAGCTCAAGGCCTTTACACCTAACACCGCGTAACCGTGATTACTCGCTGCTTCGTTTTCGCTCCATACATGTTCTATCTCTATACGCAGATAATTTCACAGGCAACACTTGCGGCAGTGGCAATTATACTGTCAGAAGCACACAACGAAGTTATTTCTGTGGGGCATTCTGTTCATCGAAGGCCGAAACTGTATTTGCGCGAACGAGTGAAGTAACATTAAAGTTTTTACAAAACATGATTGCATAATAATTTAACACCTGGATCCATTGTCACTTCACATAAGGGTGTATATATATATATATATATATCTTACTCAAGTATAAAGTGGAAGTTTATTGGAAGCGTAAAAACGTGAACTTCCTGTGTCCAGGATGCTCGCTAGGTAAACAAACAACCGTGCTACCATGTCGTCCACCATATTTCCGCCTAACTATTTTGACCCTGAAATTGCCGTACCGCGCTGAAAGAGGCGTTGTCCGTTCAGGAACTTTGATCATCCTATTTGAATTGCTACTGCACGATGCGGCCGCTAAATAATGAGACCATTTTAATTACCGACTTACTATCGGACAGTGTGCGCAATAAATAATAATAGAGGCCGGCTCAAAACATTGTCATCTCGCCGATTTTGACGAATGACTCCGTAGATTTAACTAGTTGCTCAGCGAGCGGTTGGTTCTTTACGGATTCGACTGCTCGATGGACAAGGCTTCAATCGATCCACAGCCGGTTTTAATTATTTTTCGAAATAATTGTTTAGAAAAACATTTTGTTTCAACATCACCATTGTCGCAGCGGAATGCCCCCCTATATGCACTCTAAATTTGGGCAGGGTAAATGTTCATTGTTCGCTCGCTTTCGGCAACGAAGTAAGCTTCAACGTCTTATTGTTACCCCATATATGCCTGTACACGTTTTGTCATATCTATTTTCGCAGAGATACACCTTTGACTATCGCATTTTCTCTTCGTTTGAATGGTAACTAACAAGAGAAACGTAACAGAGATATTAAATTCGAGTGGTTTCTTTTTTGGGAAGTTGTATTTTTGTGCACAGACACTGCAACGGGACGACTACCTCAAACGGCCTAGTAATATATTAGTTTCGCTATTTCATTTGTTCGACAGTAGATTCGAGCCTGCTTTTTTTAGCGGAATAATATAATCAAATAAAGATTTGTAAATTTTGATCGCAGACAATAGACATTACGGTACCCATGGGTTTGTTTCTGCTAGTTGTTTTTTTATCGTACACAGATATGTATAGTACACCGTACATTTGGACCTCGAACAGCATCACATAAGCTACGGTTTACCTATTGCTGACATCGCTAGGTTCGATCAGAACAACTTCCGATGTTGGGCAAACATGCTACCCATCTTGAAGCCATATTAGATCTAGAAACAATTGTGTTATATTTTTGCAGACGAACCTTGAAAGGTCATTGTGCGGAACACACGTAAATGACTTTATTTATATTTAGTTAAATTCGATGACTTGTTCAACTTCCTTGTGTCCATATATATATATATATATATATAAATCACGGCATCGTAACCGAAAATCACTTAGCTGAAATATCACAGTGGCTGGAATCCTTTTCCTCTCAGAACTTCCGTAGCCACCAGAGTAATTCAACACGGCCAGCGGTGAGAAAAAGTATGGACATTTTATGAGGAAGACATATTTAATCGAAAAAACCTAAGGGCAAACTTGTTAACGGTACAGGTATTACTGACTGTTTCGTAGACACTTTTGCGATGTGACGAATGTTGACCGCGCAATAACGTGCAGATTGCACGACCAAATGAAAGCACATGCTTTTAACTATTTGGTGTGCAGCATGATATATCTGCACATATATATAACAATAAAATAGCTTTACATAGCAATAAATGATTTCCACGTACGCTAAATTGAACGTATTAGTTCTCAAGCGTCAATAAAGACATCAATAAAGAACTGCTCTTAGAATCATAGCTACTTCTAGCGCGTTGCATTTTTATCGATAATGATTATAGTAAAGGTCGCTTGATCATGTATGATGCCTTCTTGTTCCCTATGAATGCTTGATTTTTTCTTGCGACTTTAGTGCAACCCACAGTCTCTTCCTTCTTCCTGTTTAAACTGAATTCAAAACAAATGAACTTGAATTTTTCAAAGCTGTC